GGCGGGAGCTGCCAGCCAGGCCGGGGTCGCCGCCTCTCCCGCCGCAGCCTCCGCAGGGGCGGCAGCCGCGCTCCGGCCCCTCGCTGCCCGCCGCGGGCCGAGCCCCGAGCGGGGCGCTCCGCGTTCAGCCAAGGGCTTGTTTGTTTGTTAAAGCGCGAAAATGTCGGCTCTCCTGAAAGGTAAGCTGACGCGCTTTGTTTTTCTCGGCCCCTCCGCCGCCCGGCCGGGGCTGCGCTGTGCTTTGGGTCCGCGCTCCGGGGGGAAGCCGCCGGGTGCCGTGTGCCCGGGCTGCCCCGCAGCCCGTCCGTGATCCTCCGGCGGGGCTGGCCCGGCCCGGCTCAGCTCGGCTCGGTTCGGCTCGGCTGTCCGGCCGGGCGGCGGGGCTGCGCCCAGGGCTGTGCGCGGCCAGGGGCTAGGGGGTCCTGCGGGACCTCGCCGGCACAAATCTCCCCTGTCCGCTAAACCGGCTGGTAAAGTTGCGGGAGGATGCATGCCGAGGTTGAACATCTTCGCTTTTTTACTCTTTTTTCTTTATTTCCCTTTTTTTTTTAATTTTTTTTTTCCCTGAGGCTTGAGTGTGTTTTTGGCGTTTTTTGATCCCGGTAGGCTCCGGCGCCCTCCTTTACTCCTCTCCGCGTGTGTGAGTGTTTGTGTGTACGTGGTCTGAGTTTTGGATTCCCTGTGAAACGGGGAACCAGCCCGCAAGAGGTCATTTTGGGAAGAAAAATTACTTTGGTGCATTGCTGTTGCAGTTTTCCTTCCCTGTTTTCCTGTATTCCTCGTGGTGCGGGTGTGCTTTTTTTGTAATGAAATACATGCCTATAGGGCTCCTTAATATAAATCCACGCAGGCCTATCAACAAATGGAATGCTGCCTGCAGAAGGAGCACGAGCAGATCGTTTGCTATACAAACTTGGGTGTTGCAGGCAACTGAGGGCCTTGGCAGGCTCTGGGAAATCACTGACCATCACACAGTGGATGTCCAGGGCTGGACAATGCTGGCTGTGTGAAGGCATCACCTGTCTAGAAATGCCCTGTGACACCTGAGCAGAAAGGCAGGCAGCTGGAGGAGGAAAGTGTTGCCAGCAGGTTGCTCAACCGGCCACTCTGAAAGTTATCAAGATAAGCCCTTGTGAAGTTGATGAGGAAAATATATTGCTAATTGTTCTTTTTAAATGGAATTGGCTTATCTCAGACTACTGCTGAAGGTAGCCATCTTGCAGAGAAATGCTGTTATTTCTGAAACAGAAAGCTGTAAAAACCTATGTAATGATCATAATTGGCTTTTAAAGTATTACCAGATATTTGACAATCCTGAAAGCCTTAAAAAAACCCCCAAAACTGTCCACTGTTTAGATACTCTTTTGTCAGGCCAATAGTACTAAAACATGTTGTCATGTCAAGTAATATTTTTAGCATGAGGATCATCTGCTAAACTGGGAAATTCAGCTGAAACACCTAAATTCTTGGTGTGTGCAGCTGGCAGGAGCAGCTTCCTAGGTTGAAAATTTCTGAGTTAGCTCAAGCTAATGTGCTCATCTGTCAAGAAGAGTCAGGGCACAGAGGTTTCACTTCACGTATGCTTCCGTCCTGCATGTGTTGGCAAATTTTGCCTCTAGTAGTAGGAAAACGTTTGTAGAGCCTGAGTGGGTATGTTCAGTTCTAAAATTCCAAGTAGTATTTGTTAGCATTGCACATTATAGTGTGGGTATTTAAAGAGACAGACTTTTATCCCTGCCAGAGATAAAAATTGCCTTGAACTTTAAGCGGAATCATTGGAAGTTAAGGCATTCACTCTGTACCCTGAGCACAGAGTTCAAGGGTAGAGCATTTAAAGTTTAGCTGAGTGTTGTAACTTACTGGCCACCCTTCTTGGTTTTTATGCATTACTCTGGCTCCAGGGAGACCTCAGTAATTTTCTGCTGTAGGTCTTTCTGTATACTTACTTGGATTGCAAAAGTAATCACAATCCATAACCCTCAGCCCAAGAGATTCCCCAGTTTTTCATGAGAGTTCTTGCTTGACTTGTCCCACAACTCCCTCCTGTGCTGTCTTCTTGTACACATAGTAGCAAGGCAGTAGCTCTTTTCTGAGTGGATTAATGAACAAAATTAATCAATTTTAACATGTTCTCTGCTTTTAATGTAGAATAAGAGGATGGAGAGCAGAAAGGAAATATGTGCAAGCCCCTCAGTAAGAGGTGATCACTCTTCTGCTCTTGTGCAGTTTTCCTGAGGAATCTGCCCCTTGTATTGTTTCTGGTGGTGTACAAAGTCCTCCTTTCTGTTAGCTTGCTCTGATACACCATGATTTGTTGTGTCACACGTCAGTTATAAAATTAGGCATCATAAACCTGCCAGTACTCTTCTGTGTGCTGTAGCTTGTGCAGTGAGGGCAGGGGCCAGGTTAGCAGTCAGAGCAGAGCACAAAAGCCTGCTAGAAATAACAGTGGGTGGGGGCAGGAGGGTTGGAGTGAAATTCTCCATGCATCAAACACCACCGTGAACTTGGCTGAAGTGCAGCCCTGTCTCTGCTGCTTGGGGGAGCACTTTCTACCAAAGGCATTAACGTGAGATATCCTGTGTGGTTGCTTATGCAAAGCTGGGTGCTCTCCGAAGTCTCAGCTATGTGGTCATGCTCTTCTGCTCTGTGCTTATTTCCTGTGTGGGCAGGACCCCCAAGAGACTTCCACTACCTTATCCCACCCTTTTCTTACGTCTGATGAGTGTTCAAGAGCACTGGTTTCATAAAAGTGGGCTTAGACTGAAATATGAGGCATTGGTTGCGAAATAGCTTGGAAGAGGTATTTCTTTTTAACATAATTTGGGATTTTATGTGTTCTTGGAAATCCCTTCCTGTGATTATCCAGCACCCCAGCCTCCCATCTGATTTTTAGAGGCACAGTAACTACTTTTTATTATGTCCTTAAGGAATTTGGCCCGCAGGGAAGAACTGCTTTCAGATATGTAGTTGCACTGGCCTTTCAACTTCCTTGTTGCTGCTGGGTGGAAAGGGAAATCAGTCTTCACCCAGGCTGTTAAATTCAGCTGTAGTTTGTGTTAAAGGACTGCAGTTGTCTTTCTGCCAGCTGAAGGCTGAGATGTGTGAATACCAGCTCCTTCCCAAAAACTGAGGGGCAGCAGGAACAATGAGAGCCACGTTCACTCGTATCATGCACCCATACTGCTTTGGGGAGCCTTTACAGAGTGCAGCCCAGGTCCTGGTGGTCATTTCCAAGATAAATGCTCCAAGCCTCTGCCTCGCAGTGGCCTGGTAGGAGTAGAAGAGCTGTCTCTTGCTGTTTCTCTCGGCTCTTAGTTACAGTATTCACATTCTTACCTATGCAGAATAGATACTTTTTTCACGCCAGGCAAGCGCGTGTTTTTGTGGACTCCAGCCATATCCTTCCTCTCTTTCCCTGTAATAATAATAATTGGGCTAACAGCACTAGCCATGAGCAGCTGTGTCCTGACACACTGGGTCTGGATGAGGCTGAGGGGTCGCAGGAGTTGATAAATGTGAAATGCAAAGCCTAAATATCCCTCACTGCTGCTGAGGGGTATGGCAGTGGCAGCTTTGGCAGGCTGGGGTTCAGTAAGAGCTGTCCCATCCAGCTGCTGCTCTGTGTGCCTGATGCTTGGTATTGGGAAAAGCCACAGGTCTGCTTTGCTTTCCTGCAAGGATGTTGGGGATCAAACGTGTTTAGCGTTTGCTCAGTCAGTTTGAGAAGAACTTAGAATATTCCAGGAAAAAAAAAGACCCTTAAACTAGGATGTTGTCACGTGTTTCCTTTTATGATGCCTTTTTATCTCTATTTGTTTGTCATGTTGCTTAGTCTCTAAGTGCTTTTTTCTGGTAGACACAAGTCTTTTGGCTAATGTGAGCAGAACAAGCTTTTCCTACTTACATGGCAGCCTCCGTGTGTTCCACAGCACGACTGAAGCTCTCTGCTGAGACTTGGGGTTTGCAGAGTTCCTTACGGGATGTGTTGCATCACACTGGGAGGTTCAGATGTTTTACAGGCCGGCCAGAAATGAGAAATGGCCACTGTTGCTGTTGTAGCAGAAGTGGTGATTTATAACATGTTGCAGGGAGGATTGGAAACATGTGAAAGCATCTCCTGGCAGTTGTTTCGTGTGCATCACCCCAAAGGGAGGGAATGAAGAGAGTATTGGTATTGAGCATGAAGCTGGAACAGACCTCCTTGTTTTTCTGTAGGAAAAAGTGCTTCCTGGTGGAGAGCAGTTTGTGTTGTCACACAAACTGACCCGGAAAGATATGCCTAACAGGCTTTCAACTCTTACCTGCTTTTACTACTAAATGAAGCATTTGATTTCAAAAAGGACCTATTGTTCAGCGTGCTGTTCATCTTGAGCTGGCGTTTTCCCGTGTTGCACCACACATGCTATGTGCACTGCAGCACTTGTCTGTCTTTTTTTTTTTTTCTCTCCCTCCCCTACCTGCAAAACAGTGCAGTCAGGAAAATGGCTTCTGTGGGCTTCAAAGCAAGGATTAGATACTGTCACTGAGGCTGAGGCTGTGGAATACTTTGCTTAGAAAAATAAAATAAAATCAAAATTGCATTAAAATGAACCATTTTTGGCTTTCTGAGACATTCACAATAGAAAAGCCTTTTAATGCATGTTCTCAATAAGTAGACTTTAAATGCAGGTTCCTCTTCTAGCAATGTTTTCTGTCAGTGTCGCTCTGTTCACTTGTGAAGTTCCCTCCTGTCCCTTTTTTGCACTAGCATTCAGGGTGTTTCTAAAATCCAGCTATATTTGGCAATACATCACTCTCTGTGTTACAGGGAAGTGATCACTCAAGGGATTTGGCAGAAATTAAATTAACTGAGGTCTTTAGAGAACATACTCAGAATGTCTTTTGAGAATA